CCAAATCCTGCTTCCACATAGACCAAACGGGTTTCATCCCAGGCAGATTCATATTAGACAATGTAATGACACTAGCAAAATCAGTAAGATACATCAATGACAAGAAAATCAACGCAGCCATACTCTTCTTTGATTTCGAAAAAACATATGACCAGGTCAATTGGGACTTCTTACAACAATGCATGGAGAAAATGGGGATGGGCCCCATCTTTCAGAAGTGGGTTAAAATTTTGTACAATGACACTCTGGGAGCAATGCAAGTAAACAGACACATATCCAACACTTATAGGATGTCTAGATCAGTGAGACAAGGCGATCCACTAGCAGCACCGATCTTCCTCTTTGTAATGGAGGCCATAGCCTCATTTCTCAGAAAAGATCCCTCCATAAAAAGGATCACGTCGCCATCAGAGGACAATACCCGCAACCTTACCATTCCCCCCACCATCCTTTTCACTGATGACCTGATAGTGTTAATTAGAGCTACTAACTCCTTCTTCGAGGCCCTCACGAGAACAATGAATGCATACCAGCTGGCCTCAGAAATGTGGATCAACTGGCAAAAACCAGTAGGTTGGTGGCTAACAAACGACAACATTGAACCCCCTCAGTCCTCGCCGGAAGGCATGACATGGTCTGACCCCAACATCCCAATGAGATTTCTGGGAATCCGACTTAGCAAAGAAGGAGCAGCTGCAGAAATGGCACCTAGCCTGCTTGCAAAAATGATCACAAAACTTAATGCATGGGAGAAGGTTCACACCTCACTATTCGGACGAGCCGTAATTCTAAATACATCCATCTTCTCAACGATGTGGTACGTTGCAGCCTTTTGGAACCCTGACCACAGGGCGATGAATGATCTCAAAAAGAAAGCAACAGCCTACCTATGGACAGGGGATCCCTCTAGACAACACTTCATAACCAAGGTCACGTGGCATTATGTCACAAGGGAGAAAAGCCCTACAAACCAAATGGATACTCAAATTGCTAACTTCACCCAGCCTCCCATGGAGGGAGCTGGCTCTAGAGGGGATTCAACACCTCCCTGCTTACAGCACTCCACTGAAGATGGAAGGCTCGTTTTGGTTAATGAGTAAATCGTGGTCAATGAAACGAAAATCACCAATCATGCAACAAACTAAAGGAGGATCAAGACTACACTTCTGGAGGAATATCATCAAGGCTTGGAGATAAATTTTCCCCGCTAAGGTAAGAAACCCACAAAACAAAAGGAAATCCTCAGACAACCATTATTCTGCAACCCCATGGATAACTGAGGACGAGGACAAACCCTTTACGCTAACCACAAAAGACACAAGATGGGAGCTTGGCTAGAAAAAGGAATATGGTGGGTGAAACACATATGGGATGACAACAAGAAAGAGTGGATGGAGGAAAAACAGTTGAGAAGCACACTCAAAGGATGCCACTGTTTAGCGAACAACCTACAACAAATAACTGCCAACATTCCCCCAGAATGGATGCCAACCCTCAAAAACAATAGACAATGGGCAAGGGGCGACTGGGCGGTAATGACACACCTTCCCCCTACTACACGTATTGTTGTACAAGGAACAGGCAGAAGGGAAGGCTAACTGGATCACTTTCACTATGCACATAATAGAAGACCCACATAAGGACTACAGCAGAGTAAACAAAACTAGTGAAGGTCAGGTCACAGTCAGAGAAGACCATCTCAGAAAAGTAAGAGTAGTAGAAAATGACAATCTAACCCTTTATAATCCACAAACTGCGCTAGAAAATTTAGAGGTTGACCCAGCAGAATGGGCATGGAATCAGAAACAGAGAACCACAGGAATTAATCTAAAACTTAACATCCTACTATACACCACAAGCCTAGGATACAAATTAAGAAGAAGATCAACAAACCCTGACCCAGTGATATCAGAGAGATGGTCGAATCACCTACAAGCGGACCCAGAAAAATTTACTCAGATATCATGGAACCAATTAGCCATAATCCACTCTCCCAAATTCAGAAGTCTTCAATGGCTCATTCTCTACCTCGCTGTCCCACTAGATCAATGGCTAAATGTGAGAACAAGAAAAGAAGACAGAAGCCCACTAAAAGAGCTTTGCGCCATATGTACAGAAGGMMAGATAGAGGACCTTTATCACTGCTTTTTCAGATGCCCAAGAATACAACGCCTATGACAAAGAATTAGGAAGCTTTGGGACAAAACGTCTACCCTAGAATTCACTAACAATCCCATCCTCCTACTACTAGGCTTCAATATAGCAAAAGAATGGCCTAACTTAGAAAACAATTTCTTTCAAATCATCAGAAAGGCTGCAATTTGGACCATCTGGAGGAAGAGATGCCAGGAGACAATAGAGAAGCAACCAATGCACAATCAGGAAGCGTGGGCTCTATTTCAACAGCAGGTGGAAACATAACTCTGGGTTCTATGGCGCAGAGAGAGGAAGAGAATGAGAAAAGATGAAACAAGAGCAAAAGAGCACAAAAGCAAATTCGAGACCAACTTCCTGGCAGGAGGTAAAATTGCAAGGATCAAAGGTCACAGTCTAGTCTTCACACTTCGGGAAAGAAGCACTCACACTCTCTTATCAGCATCCCAGAATCTTTTAACATCCACATGGAATCTGCATAGAAAGGCACAACCAAAGAACTTCAGGAAAACAGAAGTAGGGGCACAAACAAGATAAGGAGACTAGTACAGCTACTAGAGAAAATTGGTTTAGTCCAGCTCAAACACAGACAAATATGTTTAATAATAACACCAAATAAAGATTCCTAGGGTTTAAGGTTTGACCACGTATTACATCCAAGTTTTAAATGGTACAGGATAACTTAGGCAGGAGTTCAAGGTGGTGCATCCAGTTTTTTTCAGTCTAGCATTATAAAGCAAGTTTTAAATGGTACAGGATAACTTAGGCAGGAGTTCAACGTGGTGCATCCTCCCTTGAGGAATTAAAACCAAGGCTAGATAGACAAGGGTTTAGGGTTAGGACAGTCTCAAGACAAGTAGGGTTTAAAGCTCCAGGACCTTAAGAAATCCACAAGGGCCCATGATTGCTCTAGCATGACACACGGACCCAACAGCATTGCAGCTGAGAGGAGCAGGACTGTGACCAGTGAGATTAGCAAGGGCCTTCCAGATTAAGCATCTCAGGCTAACTTAAGCAGGGGGGAGAGGGGGTATATCCTTCCACAAGGAAGCAATCAATGCTGCCCACTCGGGCCTCCCAGCCAAAATGGGGAGGAGCGTGCATGAGTTTCCCATGTATTCCATATTGACTTGCCTGGGGAATAGGAACCAGACTGTCGCTCCCCAGAATGGCAGGAGCCAGAACCAAGAGGTTCTGTTTAAAAAAAAAAAAAAAAAAAAACTGAGCATGAACAGGCATGACAGGCTAAAAAACTGAACCTCGAAAATGGGGGAAGACTATCCTAAAGTGCTGTATGAAGATGCAACATCCATGTAGCAATGGCTAGTTTTGTTTCTCATTTCATGATTCAGGAGTTGTGGCATAGTTTTCTCCATTCTTTCTCTCTCTGTCGAGTTCTCTTTGCAGTTAGGTTTTGGTTTCTTACTGGAGCCTACCATCAGGTATTGCAGGGGCTGTTGTAAGCTCGGTCGTGAGATGTGGGGATCAGACGTTGTGAATTCTGGGAGCACATAGCATGGGATGCAGGGTGGGGGACGGTGGGTAGGTGAGTTGTGAATTGAGTACATCGTTTTTCTTGTATGTTTTTGCCTGCTTTGTTTATGTCAACTTTGTGAGTATAATTTCTTGTCTTATCAATAGTGCAAGGAAAATGAGAGAGAGCGAAATGACAGAAATCCAGAGTGCAAAATCACATTGAAAGCCAGCAAGTCCAACACTGTCCAGAAAGCAGAAATGCACTGATATTCCACCAACGGAGAACCAAATCACTGCATCCGAATGTCAATGAGGGCATACTCTTCAAGCCAAGCCCGCTACGAGGGCTGGCTACGGCACTGCCCTCAGCAGCGCCTCTCCTCCCGCATGACCGCACGCGTGCGCACACTTACCCCTAGCTCTAATGCAGCAGCCCGTGAGCGCTAGCTCCACAATCGCTGCCGCATCTGCACGCAAGTGCCCGACACCGGACACTGAGCCCGGCCCTTCCTATCTGGAACGTGGCAGGTGCTTTCCGTGTGCTTCCGGTAGCCTTAGTCTCAGCCAAAGTGTCTGTGCCCAGGCCCGTTCAGACAGTGGCCTGGGACCGAATTGGTTAGGCATGCCCAACCACCCAGGCACAAATGTGCGGTGCTCCCTGCTTCGACCACGTTGCTGGAAGAGCCTGGAAGGCTCCCTAATATTTTGGATTGCAAAATTTGACAAACTCAGGGCACATTGAGACTCAGGGGGGCCCGCCTTCACTTAGGGCGGGCACGCGCCTGCTGCAGGACCTTGAGCCGAGGGGTAAACCCTCACAATAGTTCACTTGGAAGTTGAATGTGTCTGTTTTGGTTGACGGTTGTGGTGTTAGTAACAGGTGTAATTTTAAGAATGTCCATGTGATAGTTAATATGTGTGTGTGTGTGTGTGTGTGTGTGTGTGTGTGTGTGTGTGTCTGTACGATTAATCATCAAGAGAGAAAAAATCAAGGGAAAAAAAGGAATGAGAAAATTGGGGGGGTACCAAATTATTTGACCTCCCCTTCTTCAGTGAATTTTACACTTTGTATTAATTTGCAAGTATTTTACTATTTTAGACTTTTTACTAGTTTTTAGTGCTATTTTTTAATTTATCATTAAACCAGGAAATTTTCTAGGAATGTATCCTATGTGCACAGGAACTTGTATGTCGGGTTGGCCAGTTCCTCTTAATCCGTTCTAGTGGAACCTCACCCCTGGATTTTGCTTGGACTTAACGATTGGAAACTACAATTGGTTAACATCAGCAGGTGTCAACTTTTATGGATGGTACACGACCGGTCCTCGTGAGGAGAATTGACTGTGTCCTGTGAGCTGTGGTTTTTGCAGATCAATCACTTATATCGAAGCGACTATTTTGGAGAGAGAGCACTTTTTACGGAAGAGCCACGAACGGCAACTGTGGTGGCAATGGGATCTATCCCACTTGTATGCTTAACTCTCAAGCGTGACGTGTTTGTTCAGGTCAGTTTGGATGATACTCTGAGAGTGTGACATAATGAAATCTGTTTTTCAGAACTTTTCCAGCTGGCTCACATAAGGATTGCCTGAATCTTTGTGGGCTGCACACCCCCTCTTTTGCATTTTTTTCTTTTTTCTTTTTGGCTATCAGTCTATCACCCCACTAATTTTAGGCAATGGCTTAGAACGTAGAAGTTAGAACTCGTTAGGGGGATACCCACGGGAAAGTACAGGTTAATGGATTCGTTTTGCACAGTTGCAGACTAATGTGATCAGTTCGGTAGGTCGTTCTGCTGGCGGATTCTTTCTTGCTTATGATGCCCTTCTTGAGGAAAGACCTTTCCATTGAAAGGCTCTTTGGTCGATTACCAGCACTCGGGGAAGATATCATTCCCCTTGGTTTCTTTTTGCAAAATTCAGCTTTCCGACTACCTTTGTCCCCCGAATACAACGTACGGTCATTATAGCTATATTTAGACTGAAAGATACCCCAAATACAGCTATACGGACCGTACATTGTATTTGGGGGAAAACGGTAACTTCCCAAATGAAAGTTGGGTGGTGGTCTGATGAACTGCTACCTACTCACGATGAGGGTGGTCTGATGAACTGCCACCTACTCACGATGAGGCTGGTGAGGGATTCCCCGTACATTGTATTGGGGGGAAAAAAGTAGCTTCCCAAATGAAA